TCGTGTCCTGTGATCTGTCCGTAGGTTGGTGGGGAGCTGAGGACCTCCTTTTGTTTGAACCCTTTTTTGGTGGTGGTTTTGGCGGCGCGGCGGCGGTGGTTTTAGCATTGAGGGAGAGATTATGTGTTTATGATTTGGATTTCAAATGAGCAAATATTGCAATGGTTAATGTCTTTAAATATGTTTATGGTTGTCGGCATTTGAATGGCGGAACCGAAAACACGCATAAAACATGCAATCTTATATGGAAGCCTACGCGCATAAAACATGCAATCCTATATGGAGCCTGAAACATGCGAGCCTACGCGCATGAAACAGACTATATGATGGATCGCGGTCACAAATCGTCATTTGTGCACACGTATCTTAATAGTCTTTCTCACGAGCAAAATAAGTTCATGAGTAGACACTTGCAATTCCATGCAATTCGAATTTTTTTGATACGTTTCGTTGTCTTTGTAAATATATTAGAGGGTTAAACAAAATTGATATTAATTTTACATTAATTCCGATTATAACATCGTAAAATCCATCCTAAATTTTCTATTAATTAAAATTATTACGATAATAAAACAGCCATGCCTTTGCGTTTTGAAATCACGTGTGTGTGACAATTATCCTGTCAAGAAAATATTCAAATAAATTCTATCTCTGGTATAAGCGCTATATTACTGTATATGCATATATGCAAAATCGGCGTATAATCATTCATTTCCCCAATACAGATATGAACACATACACGCAAACTGGTTAAAAATCGGTATTCGTGTATTACGATTGCGATACGACATAAGCCCTAAATTTAAATATGATAGTGATAATCGATCGGTAATCTGTACCGGTCAATTAATTCCACAAGTTGTTCGTTTGGTCCGGTCAAAAAAGAATAATCCATATGTTTGTATTAGTTGCGGATATGTCAGTTTGCATGCATCGTCCGTGCCTACACGTGATCGGAATAATTGTGGGCGAATGTGCTTTGCATGTTTCAAGCCTTCGCTATACGATAGAATGACATCATCTAGATTTATAAAGACTGTTGGAGAGCTAGTTGAATTCCGCGAGCGGTATATGAGCGAGTTGACTGATGATGTATGGGTCAGAGAATTGCCGTGGGTTTGGGAATTGAACAAAGATGGGCAATATACCAGATGGATTTGTTATCAGCGATTGAAGGAATTTGTCAAGTTTTTTTTACTCTGGAAAGGTTAAATTGATTACAGAAGGCGATAATTGGGTCATCGTCTGAAATTTGCAGACAAAAGACAGACCATAGGCTTGAATTATAATTAGAAAATGGGTTGTTCGTGTTTAATCGTGTATTATTAGCGGTAATAGTGTATTTCTTAGTGCATTGCGTAAAACTAAAGAAGTGCTTGTCATCAGTGAAAAATAAGCTTGTCTTTATATTTACTATATTTTCTTATCTATTGTATGGGCCTGGAGAAAGCGTTGAGACGGCAAACGATTAGATGGTATGACAACAAAATCCCATCTGAAGCTTGCTTTCATTCGTGTAAGCATGCTTTCGGTTAATTGTACAGGGTAGCGAGTCTGTCGAGAGGATAATTATCAAAGACTTTCATTTAATGTCCATCACGTAGTATTATTGGTTGTTTCAATCTCCCAATCAGTAATGTCGCACGAGATGAGAATGCGATGATTAAAATTTTTTGCGATAAATTGTACTCTGTTGTTTTGTCGATCAATAAAAATGGCATCAATAGCTTCAAAACTTCCTTTCAAACTTCCCTCCAAGAAATTTATGGCCTTTGTTGGTACATGTACCGGCCTGGCTGGACTGATGTCTCGTGATAATATGTTATCGAGAGAAGGCCTACACAAAGTTCAGAGCAAGGTGGCACACCTAGCATTAGAGCCAATGGACGTTCATGAGTTACCGCGTAAAGTGACCGTATACTTAACACCACCAGTTGGTGACGGGATATATAAAACGAGGGCTCATTTTAAGGAATATGTTAAAGTAAGTGCCGTCTAATGCTATGTATACAAATAATGCATTATTGCTTATCTACAATTTCTCTTTTATTATAGCCAGTTTTAGTAGCAGCAGCTGTAGATTATGAAATAGTGGAAGGTTTTAAAAGTGGAGAATTGCAGTCTAAAGTACGCGAAGCAATTATCAGCCGACGTAAAGCAGAGAGGAGTGTCTCTCAGCCAACAGATAATTCTAACAATCCAACACAAGAAATAAAGAAGAAATCATTAGCCGAGACGGGAGGAGCAATCGTAGTTGGACGTGCTGCGTGGATCGAATATCTCCACGGACTTAATGAAGGGTGTAATGCGCCATTAGTAGATGAGCAAGTTGGCACATCCTCAGAATTAGAAACAAACACACAATCAGTTGGTGAAAGTAATAACATCACTGAAACGAATACATCACCCACACCGCAACAGTCATCTGACGGCATACCGTCTGGTACTAACGATGAAATTTTAATACCCGAACTTGAACCGGTTGGCTATGTACACTTTTATAATCGAATAGGATGGAAGAATGTCCCGTTGAGAATCTATCATGCCTTGAATTCGTATAAAAATTACGAAATAGCCGGTGAGGAAGCAGTTAAAGTAGCATTAGGAGATACGAGAAAATTTACAGATGTTGATATGGACAATGGTAAAGGTGAAGAGCAATTCTTCAAAGGCGAAGTCGAAAACCCAAAGTTGGATGGAAGAATTGCAGAGAAGCTAAGTGTTTATATATGAAGTAGATAATTAGAAGCGTATATAGTCCGGGTGATGTAATTGTAATGCTAATTAAATAAGAATACGTTGGTAAGTGTATAATAGCTTATTTTAACAGAAAATGAAAAGCTCCTTTAAAGCCATATCGAATATTTCTGCGCCTACAGCTGGGTAATATTATCAACTAAAGTAATTGCGTAAACAATTGTTGAAAAAAGTATTGTGGCAAAAAAACAGGCATGTTTATATTTAGAGGATTTTATTAACTTTGAAATTCAGGAACGTACAGGATTAATAACCAATATCACGTGATTATATATAAAAATTCGTTATAGAGAATTTTGGCGGAACGGAGTTTTTTGGCGGAACTCCATTGATTTGGATTAAATATAATGTATGTCTTGGGAGAGATGCCTTAGCGAGTCCGAAGTCAGACCATGTGATCGGATTCCAATCACTTGGAAGAAGGGAATTGGCATAAACTTCAATGCATTCTCAATATCTGATGCTTCCCGATACTTTGCCCGTGGTTATTCGACTTACTTCTTCGAAATTTCTAGACTTGCCTCATGGAGGCGATAAATTTCAGTATGTTCTTCTGAATGGCTTCTATATGTTGTCAATTGCTGATTTAGGTGTAGGGAGGTCATCTCAGATTTGAACTCGCAGTTTGACTCCATCTCCGTCCGTTATTCGTTAATTCAATGTCTGAATCGGAGGGTATATCTGCGTACCCTTCAGTGACTCCTCTAAGTATATAAGTGCCTACGGCTCGTCTCTACCACACCACACCACACCACCTTACACTAGATTTATTATGCCCTCTCAATCTAGTCTCGCCACACCACACCACACCACTTTACACTAGGTTTATTATACCACCTCAATCTAGTAAAAGCACCACACCACCTTACACTAGATTTATTATACCCTCTCAATCTAGTCTCGCCACACACCACACCACCTTACACTAGATTTATTATACCCTATAAATCTAGTAAAAGCTCCCACACAGACTTCGTCCACACCACACCACACCACCTTACACTAGATTTATTGTACCCTATAAATCTAGTGAAAGCTGGGCTTTATCAATGTCTGAGGATAAGTAAGAAGAGAGACTTCGACTTGAATCGGAATCCATTGGATCGGTTTTCGGTATTTCGGCGAACAGTAGTAGGACGGCTAGTAGATGGCATTTGTATTCGGTTTGAATGAAGAAAAACGTACGGGGCAAACGCCCCGCTGAATCGGAGGGTATATCTGCGCACCCTTTAGTAATTCCTCCAAGTATACAGACTTCGTGGCTCGTCTCGCAAATCCCCTGCCACACCACACCACACCACTTTACACTAGATTTATTATACCCCTATAAATCTAGTGAAAGCTGGGCTTTATTGTCCGTGCCAAATTCGATCTTTAATTTCAGCTGGCGCGGTACTTCTTCTTTTTCTAGGTCACAGCAAGGATAGGTCAAGTGGTTAAATGCGGAATCGCTTTTTGTGGGAAGCTTTCTGTTTCTTTCAGGATTTTCATGGGCAGTCGAATCGTGTTCCGTTTGAATTTTGAAACAATTCCATTGTTGCCATCATCACCCTAATTCAGCAACCAAGAATCCTATGCTCTCTTCGTATTCGTCCAAATGTTAATCCGTAGGCCTTCGTTCGAAATATTTATGTACTTCGTTGTTGTCACGCATGACAAAAAATAACAAAAGGAAGGACTGAACTATGTGTCTAAAGCGTGTTCGCGTTTATATATAGGATCATAGATTGGTACGCAGTTAATAGTAACACATCAATCCAAATTAAGACATGCAACTGACATACAATAAAAACAGCCTTAATTGTAATCTTGACACGTTAACGATAATAATAATAATAAATAAATTTTAGTCAAATGTTGTTAAATTATTAGACCCACTAGCTCAGCCGAGAAAGTTTTCACTTCTTTCAACAACAACTATTAAACTATTTTTGTGCTAGAAACATGAATTCGATGAGAATAGTTAATAAAAGTCGTCTAACTGTAACAATCTTATTAAAGCGATGATCCATATTAATATCCTCATCAGAATAATAGTCGAAAAGAGCTACCTTTTGTTAAGCTGAGAGAATAATACAAGGAGATTATCTTTCAAGTATTTTTAGTTTCAGAAAAGTGGTATCTATTACTATGATGGATTCTCTCGGAAAAGTACAATTGAGTTTATTATCTGGTGTAACTTGCCATATATGAAAAAAGTCAAATTATTATAAAGCAAGGTAAATCCGTCACTAATGCACACATCAATGTTGCACCATTCCACTCTACAACGTCGGCTTAACGTTCTTTTGAGCGAATTTGAGCGAGCGCGAAAGCTCTGGAATGAATTAAACACCGAAGCCTTGAACGCTGCGAATTCTCTAGTTAATAATCGATTAGAAGAACGGTAATGGTGTACATCGACTCGTAGCGATTGATGGCAGACCCCGCGTTCATCCCGGATTTGCGTTTTAGACTAATAGATTACTCCGAATGTTGGCCTCCCGAGTTCAACGAGTTTCCCAACTTGAGGGAGAAGTGCCGTAACAAAATGATTAGCAAGTTGGCCGAATTGGAAACGCGTTTACAGAGTATATTTGAAAAGATGGTATGTGGTAGCATAATATAGTCTTAGTCGCTCATCGCCTTTCATTATTGGGAGTTCGAGCAATCGCCAAATACGTTAACAACAGATTTCATACCAAGTAGACACAGCAGTACAAAAAAATGGAAAGTTACCAAACGACGCTTGAAAATCTTCTTTTAGAAGCAAAAAATGATCTTGGAGACGAACACATCCAATTCGTCCCCGTCTATTTAACATGTTCCTTACAGAAACTTGGTAATGACATTGTAATGAGAACTGTTTAATTCATAGGCTGCGCGAGTAACGAAACATTAATACAATTTTTTGTGTTGCAGTAAATCATTTTATTTCTATATTTACGATGTACAGAGAAGAATATATATTCAAGAAAAAGCTTTTATGTGAATTCAATCAAATAGATGGTAAGCACGACGGTATGGTGTTGCTTAGTGTTTGGATGAATCAACCTTGTATCAATATTGAGAAAACCAAAGATTTTGATGAGTTATGCAAAGTAGAAAAAGAAGAATGGATGAAAAGATTCACGTGATAAGTACCAAAAATATTTAATTTAATTAAAATAATATTAAATGGGGGCCCGTCTCGCTTGTTTATTCTAATTTACACTTGATTATACTTTGAAAATCAAATGATGTCTATATCCGCCCTCTAAAACTGGAGAAACTCTATACTCCTTAAACCTCTCATGTGAAAATTGAGTATAACGCTCGCATGAAGTCAGCCATGTAAACTGCCTGAGCCTAGGGGGACACTTGTTCATAAACGCCGTCAAGTCCTCGTCAAAGAAGTCAGCACTTGCATTTATGTGGAAGTACTGTAAAGAGGAAGGTAGTGTCTCAACTAAATTGATCAGTTCTTCGCGTTGGAACGTTTTAATAAGGACTTCGATGGTTAATTCCTCAAGATTAGGGCATGAAGAAGCAATACCGGGCATTAAATGCATTATATCAGATGCCCACTCTATTACGGATACATATTTCTTGACATTTGGACAGAATTGAGACAGTGTCTTGAATATTACTGGATAATTCTTCTTATCCATCCCTAGCGTCACTTCAACCAGGCATTGTCCTGCATTGCTCATTATAGCTGCAAAGTCATCAGCCGGTGGATCCCATTCATTATCAAATTCAGGAATGTCTGGATATATGGTGTCAATATACGTAAAATGTCTCAGCTTGGGGAAAGCACGATAAGTCAACGGTTTCATATGAGCGCTCGTAGTCCCAAAGCATGCATCCATCTTAAATATCTCCAAGTTACAACACTTGGCCAAGGGAACCAACGGACCACAATTACTTATACTGCTCTTGTACATCTCAAAGTGCTTTAGCGATTCCGACTGTGTCTTTAGTGCGTTGAACAGTTCGAGATCCTTGATCTTCCACTCAATTAATACAAACTTACTCAATTTTCGTTGTACCGAGATCAGTTGCGCCAACGCACTACAAGTCTCATTGACAGTATTCCACCTAAGACGATCCCATCTGAGACGATTACCGACTTGTAGGCTATCGATGTTCAGACAGTACTTTGCCATTTCGCGAAAGATATGTTCTTTAGGAAAATGGCCCTTGCATACAAACTCACGAATATTCGCCAGCGATATCTGAGCCTCGGGAATTCTTGGGATTGCCACAACATTGCTAACATAATCAGCACCCAACTTCTCCAAATCTAGCACCAATCGATCAATACGATTAGTCCGACTAAGAATTAATTTACAAAGTTCGTCTATAATCTGCTCCTTGAGATCCCTTTCCAGAGTCACTGCTGGTCGCTCATACAACCCGGATATTGTCTCTCCATCGCAAAAGTATGGTACTGGAGGCATAGGACTATCTGGCCGTACTTTAGATCCATTGGGAAGAAGCAAGCTGTTCATAAACCCATTTCGTAATTCGGATGCCAACCAAGTATCGACAGCTCCAACTAAATGCAAATAATCGATATCGCGGATGAACCGTGCGTAGTTATTCATCGGTTTAAGGTTAATCATAAGTAATCCCAGCTTCTTTTTCACCTCATTTGGGAGCAATAAAAGAAATGCATGTAGGACTTTATAGGAATATTTTGGTTTAACATAAGCAAATGGTCTTCTCCAAAGAATTGGGAGCGTATTATCATGCCATATCCTGTTGACTAACAGACAAGAGTACTGAGTCGAAATGTCTTCTTCATCGATATAAGATAAAATCTTTTGAAGGCATTCAGTTGGCAAGTAAAACCCCATTATTACTGAAATATTTAACTCTTCTCCAAGATCAATTTAAACTCGAAATGCTAGGGTAATTCAAAAGACAATAGTTAATGCGTATCTCAAGCGAAAGGAATGAATCAAATATGTACATGACGCCACAAAAATTCAGGGGAGGGTTCGAAATTTCAGTGACGAGTCGGCCATTGGTTGAATTGTCAAGCGCCACGGTAGCACTACTTGACGAGAATGTTACTATAAAGTGGCAACAAACGCCTACATAAAGACCTATAAAATCCACTAAGCAAAGACTAAATTAGGTAATAATGAGTCCTGTATATGTAAGGCTTGCGTTAGCCTAAGCTGACCCCTTTTTGTAAGATACGTTGAACACCATAGCAATGTTTGTTTGCATTGGGGACAACAAACGCCTTGGATCTCAGCCTAGCTTTTTTACGAATGAATTATTGACGCCCGAACAACAAAGAATTAATAACCACAGAATTCACAAGTTTGACTTATGATTACTACTTGACACCAGGGATACTCACGCACACAATGTGACAATGCGTCGTTGCCCACGTCTTGAATGCTTCAATCGTAGGTGTAAACAAATAAAGAACGCAAAACTCCACGTCTTGAATGCGAGATTCAAGTAGTAATTTTTTATAAAGACAACGGATCCCTTCAGTGAACACACAATTAAAGTAGTAAAATGTAAAATTATAAATAAATAAATTTTACCCACGTTTCCGCTCTTTCTTTTTTCCTAATACAATCGTGTTTACTTTGAAGCTTGTCACATGCATAACTTAAATCAAAAATTATTGAGTTAAATTATTAAAAAAAGAAAGAAAAAAAAAAAAAGAAAAGAAAAAAAAAAGAGAAGAAAAAAAAAGAGAGAGATTGGCGCGGAAATTTATAAAATTCCGTTTTCCCCATTCAACAGCTATCGCTATTCGTACACCTGGATCCAGAGCAACCTCCTGAGCCTTCTTCCTATTAATTAAACGTTTGCATAGACGATATAAATAATATAGTATAAAAACCTTTTGAAATAAAGGACCTTCACGTATCTATGGCGTGCTGATTTGAAATCATAAAGTCTTCTTGCGCCATGACCTGTTACTTAGCAACAACATGTTGTCAAATTCATAAAATACGCATGTAAACTTGTTAAGACTATCATACTACATCCCATCGTTGATAGACACCCTACAAATTACTTTAATTGTTCGCTACCAGAAGAGTTTGCTAATTAGGCTCAACGCATTCATCATGATAAACTTCCATTATTTTATGTCAAATCCCATTACTTAACTAACCTTACCTTAATAACTACTTTACACTATTCAGTATAGTATGTGACTAACGCGGAAAAACATCCATCTACACATGGTGCATGAGATTCCAATACTTTGGAAGATTTACACAGTGAATGTGTGACGATCATTTTTAGCAGGAGGAAAAAAGCATATACAAACACATCAACCGAAGCAACACATTGAAAACGGTACTAATCGCTCTCCTTCTTGTTTAAAATATTAGTTCGATATAACGTAACAAGACAACGATGGCGCAAGTTGCTGAAGCCACGGTTGACGTTTCCGACGATGCCAACGGTGATAGTCACCAGCATACTCACGAAATCGAGCACGAGGGTCACTCTCATGACCATACTCAGGATCATTTTCATGACCACTCTCATGACCACTCTCTCGACCACTCTCTCGACCACTCTCACGACCACTCTCACGATCATTCTCACGAACACTCTCACGGCAAACTCACAGGTCAAACCGAGAGAGTGAAAAGGTCTATTGACTACGATTTGCTCGAGGAACGAGGCACCATAAAAAAAACTACCGACCCAGGAGTTGAAAGGGTAAGGCTACTTGGGCTGATAAAGAAATTAAATCAGAGAAAAGTCGGATCGAGTACGCTCTATTCTACGTTCACGCTCATATTCATGATTTCACCACTATTAAAAATCTTCAATTTTAATTTAGTACTTTCGAGCAAAATCACTCTTTAAGCAAGGTTACGAGCTTGCCAATGAGATTCCTGATAGTGACGATGTTAAAGTATTGATGCAATATCACCAACAAATATTCGATGCAACCAAGAATCTCGTCGAAGCGTTCATACTTGATGAAAAAGCCACGGACATGCCGCCACGCGTCATGACGCTTGCTCAACAGTACGAGAAGCTACTCAAATCGCGATACAGTAAGAATTCGAAGAAGGATGAGGTTGGAGACCGAGAAGAGGAGACGGCGAATAAAGAGGATGAGGATTCAAAGAAGGATGAGAGTGATAAGGGTGATGAAGAAAAGACAAAAGAAACAGAGACTGCTGAAGAGAAGAAAAATGTGGTGACGGCGGAGGCTAAAGAAGAGAAAGGTGATGGCGTGGAAGAAGCAGAGGATGAAGCTTCCAAATTGACCAAGGCTGAAAATGTTGAAGACTTTGATGAACCAGAGTTCACAAAAGAGTAAGTGGGGAAAAAGAATATCATCTTACTGGGGGGTTGTTAAGCTACCATTCAATGATCTAATATGCTCGTATTCAATCCTACCACCAAAAAAGATCTCTCGTACTAGTCATCTGGCTTTTATTTAATGGCAAACAATACGAGTACTGTATCCAAACTCTTAATCTAGCCTACAAACTCGAACCTGAACTCCGGCCTCGCTTTGTCTACTTGCGTGCATCATGCTATTTGGCGTTGCGTGATTATAAATCTTGTATTAAAGATCTCGAACGTCTTATTGGACTAGACCCCACTTTCGTCGACGCATATAGTCTGCTCGGATCCCTCTATATGCAACGGGATGATCGATTGGAAGCAATACGTTATTTTAGAATGTGCGTCGACAAAGCCCATAAAGATTCTGCTTCGTATTCGCAGGCATTATATGCATTGTCTGTTCTCAACTCTCAGAATGCTTCTGCTACCGGGGGCTCTAATAACCGAAACCAGGTTTTGCAGAATCTGCGTAACCAGCAGGCGACTTCTTATTATAGTAAAGCGAAAGAGGCTGAAATACGGTTCGAAGAATTGTATGGACGCGTGCCCGAGATGAGCGAAACCAAAAGGATGGCCGTTACCCACTTTGAAGCAAAGACGAATAAACGTCAATCCGAACCAGAACCGGCTGCTGCGTCACAACGTCGTCTTGCTCATGATTCGAGTGGTGAAAGTGTCAAGAAATGCAATAATTGCCAGAGCACTGAACGTAAAGAGGAGAATGGAGCGTTGGATGACGACAAGAAATCAAAATTACTACTATGTGCGGGATGCTCAAAAGTTTACTATTGTTCTAAAGAATGTCAGAAGAAGAACTGGAAGGGGCATAAGCAACAGTGTCTTGCCGATAAAAGTAGAAAATAGATTTTATGGTGTGTGATAGAATATTGGTGACTACTTAATTTAACGTTTAAGTGCGCTAAATATCACGTGTTCGCACCCACAAATTTTTAATGAAATTTCCGAGGTTTTTTTTGTACATGCGAATTATTGATCAGAATTGTATTGCTCGATGACTATGAATTAGTTATTGCTTACCGTATCATTATTTTACCATCCCGGCACAATTCCAAATTTATTTCTTCTTGGGAATTTTCTTCTTGATAGTCTCATCACCAACAAATATACCTTTTTGATTATACGGTTCGGGTTTTCTATAACTCCTAATCACGGCAGCAAACTGCATGACGATCCTCTTGTCTGATCCGCTCAGCAAAATCTTGGTCGGCTTTGGCACTTCACATTTAACGCCTTCAGGTATGTCCAAGATGTCTGGGTGTGTTCTACCTACTCTCAACGCGAGCTTGTCCTGCTCAATTGCCGCCCTATATCCAACGCCTTCTAAACGTAATGGTACTCCGTGTCCCTCGGTAACTCCAGTAACATAATTAGCGATCAATGCTCGTGTAGTACCCCACATAATACGCTGCTCTTTTTTAAGCGGATCCATTACGCTGATCGTTAGTTTAGATTCTTGTGTTGATGTTGGGTTGGATGGTAAGACTGGATGGGAGAAATTCAGGATTATAAATGGTTTTATTGGGAGTGTATGTGTGCCATTCGGGCCAGATATTGTCAAAAGCGTATTGTCTTTTTCGGATTTTAGTTTGGGGTTTAATATTGGTTTGGGGTCATGAGTTATTGTGACGTCTGGTGGATATGATATTGGAGTACGGCCAATGTGAGATAGTAGGCAGGAAGATGTGGAAAATAAACGGAAGGAAGTTACATTGTATTTAGATAAACGAGCGGAAGAAGAAACAGGCAAAGCGCTTCGAATGATATTCATTGGGAGAGTTGTGGGTATTGGTAAATAAGGTGAAATGTAAAAATTAAATCATGCGCAAAATAATGATAGTCATGTGTAACATTTGTGTATTTGCTACATCGTAATGGAGTATACCAAAAGAGGAAGCGAATTCTAGAATAATCTGCGTGAAATTCTTGAAATCTGATTGGTTTACGCGGACGTTTTTTCTGCATTCTTTGTGGATTTTCGCGATTATCATTTGCAGCTAAAACTACGCAAATACATAAGAAAAAGACGTCTAATTTTCATATTTTCCAATAATAAAAAAATAATAATCAACTCGTTTCGAAAAAGTAAATGAGAAGTGGAAACTACAAATCTGTGTTGTATTTGGCTTGACTAAGACGAAACAGCGTGCTAACTAAGTTACAACCTTTTGACAGTGTCAGTCTATCCAAAGCCACGAGCAAGAGACCTTCGTGCGTCTTTGGAAAAGTATAGTAAAATTGAATAAATGCGCGTTCTTGGGAATGAAGTTAATTACGATTTAAGGGACTATTTTTGTATGATAAATAATGACGTGCCATATAAGGAAATACGTTACACTTTACACGGTTTACGTTTCCTTAACTGCATACCGATCTATAATCCTATATATAAACGCGAACGCGCTTTAGACACTTTGTTATTTTTTGTCATGCGTGACAACAACGAAGTACATAAATATTCGAAAACGAAGGCCCACGGATTGGAATATTTGGAGGTTCTTGGACGAGTACGAAGAGAAAATTTCAAAGCTATCTCTTGAAAATATTATCAAACTTCATCTGGACTTGATAATATTAAAATGCCTCGCCAAACCAACGGATTTCGCTTCTTTGCTAAGAAGATCTTGACCTATCCTCGCTGTGACCTAGAAAAAGAAGAAGTACCGCGCCAGCTAAAATTAAAGATCAAATTTGGCATGGACAATAAAGCCCAACTTTCACTAGATTTATAGGGTATAATAAATCTAGTGTAAAGTGGTGTGGTGTGGCAGGCGAAGTCTGTGTGGGCACTTATGGACTTGGAGGAGTCACTAAAGGGTGCGCTGATATACCCTCCGATTCAGACATTGAAATGGCGAATAACAGACAATAAAGCCCAGCTTTTACTAGATTAATAGGGTATAATAAATATAGTGTAAGGTGGTGTGGTGTGGACTAGATCGGGATGGTATAATAAATCTAGTGTAAGGTGTGGCGTGGTGTGGACTAGATTGGGATGGTATAATAAATCTAGTGTAAAGTGGTGTGGTATGGTGTGGGCGAAGTCTGTGTGGGTGCTTTTACTAGATTGAGGTGGTATAATAAATCTAGTGTAGGGTGGTGTGTGGTGTGGCGAGACTAGATTGAGAGAGTATAATAAATCTAGTGTAAGGTGGTGTGGTGTGGCGAGACTAGATTTAGAAATTTCGAAGAAGTAAGACAAAGTTGGTCGAATCACCAGCGGCAAAATATCGATCAATTTTTTTAAGAGGGAAGGAGGATTACACGTATGTTGACGAGGAGATTTTATTGGCAGTATTCCCACTTAGTTGGAAGTTCCGCTTCCAATTTTTGGAAATATCAAATATTCGAACTAATTGAATATATAATGCTATCAGTTATAGAATATCCGGATATTATAAAAGAGCTAAGAAACCATCGCACAGACTTTCCATTAGGCATTGGTTCGAGGAGAGGGTGTATTGACATTCAATTATTATTATATAGTCAGCTAAAGTAATTGCGTAAACAATTGTTGAAAAAAAGTATTGCAGCAAAAAAACAGGCATGTTTATATTTAGAGGATTTTATTAACTTTGAAATTCAATAGAGAAACAGGATGGATTAATAAATCTCACTTTAACTACTGTCACGTGATTATATATAAAAATTTGTTATAGAGAATTAACGAGTTTTTTGGCGGAACGGAGCTTTTCGTTAAAGCGGACTTTACTGTGTATACAAATCACCATTGATTTGGATTAAATATAATGTATGTCTTGGCTGAATGTCCTGGAAGTAATCGGATTCCAATCACTTGGAAGAAGGGAATTGGCATAAATACATGTTGATTGACTCTTCTATACTTTTGAAGCCTCCGATTATTTACTAAAATTATTAGCTTGAACTCCTAAAAGTAAGGACATTAGCTATATCTTGTTATTAACATTGGCAAAAAGGAAGTCCAACTTTGTTAAGTCAACTCAATGGCATCTCAAACTATTTACCAGAATAAATATAAACTCTATATGGGGCATGCTGCAACAAAACCAGACAAAGTAAACATTCTTAAATAAGAGGCTGGTATGGCTGAAAGTTAACCAATTTGACTGATGACATTTTGAAAAATAATAATGGTGTTCATGCATAACTTATTATTATAGACTTGTTAATTTTAATGTTCCCATTATCATACCGGAATGTGGTGAATATAAACCATAACAAGGTTAATATATATAGGATTATCTCTATATATAAAATATTAATATGAAACTGATTTACATTAAATCCACCATGGAACCCAAGAATTATAGTACTACACTCCCGTGGCAAAAGTCACCGACCACCCCCTATGTACACGCTACTTATGTCCCAACGCCCGAGTCACAAAGTCGTTACCTGATTGAGTTGTTGCTGTGAGTCGGTCCTGCAACAGACGCACTTGTTTCTCCCCCCCCCCCCCCCCCCTGCTCCTCATCCAGACGCTTCTTTTCAGCAACGAGATCGTCCACTGTCTTCTCCCACCGTCTCTGCTGCGCCTCTGTCCCTTCTCCATCCGCCAACTTTTTTCCAATCATCTGCAGTCCATTCTCGATGTTCACGACACCACTGTATTCGATCTTTCTTGTTTTTCGGTGAAATAAATGGTTTTCGAGCAGCAACTCGGCTATTATACCCCGATTCATACAAAGCTCGTTTTACTGTCCATTCACTAACAGCAGTTCCAGTTGATTGGACAAAGCTTGTATGAATTTGTTTAATAGTCTGCCGGCGATTGGTTCGAACAACTATTTCAAGATGTCGCTTATCCCTGTCTGTCAGTATTGGTGGTCTCCCAGTGCGTGGAGCAGGAGTCACTGTACCAGTTTCACAATACCTTTCTATAGTATCATGTATTGTTGACTTTTGATGGCCAGTTATTTCCTCAATCTCTCGCTCTGAGTTACCAAATAGATACCCTCCTATAATAAGACCGCGTTCAAACTCAGTAAGCTCTTGTCGTTCAGTCATTTTCCACTAAATAATGTAAGTGTATAGGCTGAATAATGTTTGCGGCTTAGATGTAGATTGCATTATGCTTATCACATGCATGGAAATGTGATTTCGGAGCATTGTCAACAATGATCCGAAGTCGTTAACGGTGCAGATAAATAAAAATAAACTTGAGCTCTAGTTTCTCAACAACAAAGCAAGCTATCTGGTCAAACTTTTTTGCATTCGATAGCAGTTTGTTTGCGCTTTCAAATGAATGTAAATGTGTTTATATTTATTATGTGGAATTGGGTTTTAAACAATTTTAAACTTTTAGGTCGTTTAGCTTGATTAACTTTTTTCGGTAACACAAAAGTTAGTTATATATAAATTTTAATCATATTACTAGCTGACACACAACAATTTTTTGTGAATATGTTTTACACTAGGTGCGCTAACTTTAGTATTAGTTTCAGAGTAATTGCATTGCTCGTTATGTCAATATTTGCATCTAATTGCAAATTCAAGGGGTGTCGGCGACTATCGAATAGTACCCCAGATTCAAAATTCGATTTCTCAACAAAGAAGCAAGATATTCGGGTAATATTTTATAAATACGACAGCGCTTCTTTTGCACTTTTAAATAAGTGTAACTGAGT